GACGAGAGAGAGAGAGAGAGAGAGAGAGAGAGAGAGAGAGAGAGAAGCGTGCATACCGGAGAAACACAGCGGGAACTTTTCTTACTTAATAATTCAACGGTTATTAATTCCGTTTCCTCGGAGTGGCTTATGCATCGTTGCGTATCGTGTTTAGTCTTGCTCCGAAACTTGGTCGAATCGCGAGAGAGCGCGGCGTGCGTTAAATCGATGAAATATTGGCCGATATACAGAGAGAGAGATGAGGAAGTGTGCGCGAAGAGAGGAGGGAGGAGCCGCATTGGCAGCTAATTTGTGATCGATTCTCGACTGCGCTGGGAATTAAGCTGTATCGCACGAGTAAACGATGCTTTCGCGTAGACACTTAGTGCTCCTAATGCACGCGGCGACGAAAATAGTAAGTGATATCGCGAGAGCCGGAAGATTGATGGAAGCACGCCTGAAATTTATGATTTAAACGTCTTAAGAGGATCCATCCGTCCATTCTTAGGGAAGCCGCCATATATATATATATATATATATATCTGTATTGCGTGTTAAAATAAAATATATTTTATAAAATATATTTCCGCGTTCGCGCAGCAGTTAGACCGCGCTCCGAGTCGGTGTAAAAAAAAAAACAAATAATTTCGGAATTTACGCATCGCGAAGTTTTCTCGAAGAGCTTTAGAACTTTAAAACAGTTTGAAGATAAGCTCCTCAATTATAACCAGAATAGACCGGCGCCGAGATATACGCCGACTTTGCGGAAAACCGCGCTTACCTCGACTTTAAAGCTGATTAACAACGTGCTCTTTCAGTCTCCCAATTAGATCGGGGGATCGTACAAGTCAAATGGGAGATATAGCGGGAAATTAGAGCAGCCAAGGGTCAGCGTTATGAGACAAGCGATGATCGATCGGGCTCTTCCGCGTAAGCGCGCGGCAAAGTAAAACGCCGGAGAGTTCGCCGACATGCGTGTGACGTAATAACGCGGGATAATTCGTAATCCCAGTATCAGATTGCTCAACTAGCAGAGCAAACATTCGAGCGTCGATCTCCATCTTCGCAGTCGTTAGTCGGTATTCGTTTCGGTCATTAAGTCGTAGGAAGACGAGCGAGCAGAGATGGAAGCGCAGATCGCCACGCTGCCTCCACTTCAGCCGTTACTCGAAACTCGAGACTGCGTCGGGAGTAACATCGAGAGGCTGCGACGTGTCCGCCGCCAGTCTCGGTACCTGCATGTACTACCTAAGTGTACGTACATATTAGTACCTAAGTCAATAAATCGCCCGGGAGGTATATATACGTTATAGCGGAAACGGTGCGGAGAGGGCAGGAATGGCAATCGACAGTTTGCGATTGGTGAGGAGGCTGACAGTGAGCGGGAGAGACGATAGATCAAACGCACCTATTGCTTTTCTATATGCCTTTACACACACACCACCCACACCCACACACCCACACACACACACACACACACACTACCCCCCCACACACACACATGTGATGACTCCGGGAGACGGAAACTGGTCGAACGTGCCGAGTTCTCGAATAATTGTTGGAGACCGATGCTTTTGTCGAGAGCTAAAGTGCGCCGGAAAACGTGCAATCTCGGCTATCGAGTGAAACTTGTTATTGAAACACGAATCGAAGTTTCGTGCAGGCCTGAACACAATAATCCACGGGGAGAAAAAAAAAGAAATGGCCAACGCGCGCCAGAGCGCAGAGTATAAAAAAACCTCCCCGGTGTAATTTCATTAAGTCTTATAAGTACTGTTTTAAACACGTTACATTATGAAAATTGTTATGTGCATAAACATACAATCATAATATAATATACTCCTCTAAAGAAGTTTATAATAAAAACTGGAGCGTAACGCAGATTATTAAATTACGAAATAAAAGAAGTATTATGTTTTTATATTATTTTATGAACATAAGGCTCTGTGCACAATGGAGCAAATGTTAGGAACAGAAATGAATATTAAATTTTGCAAATGAAAATTCGGAATAAAAATTAACGCACAATGAATACAAATAAAATATAGTCACATCTTACATTTACTTATATTCATTGTGCACTGTTATGTTTAATTTTTATTCTGAGTTCTTATTTCTAAAAATTTAATATTTATAATTTTAATATTTTCTATTCCTAATATATTTCCTCCATTGTGTGCGCAGGATCTAAATCTTTTAACCGACAGATAGATTGGTTTTCTATTCCTCTAATATGTAATATTCGCAGCGTAATATTTCAGAATTGCAACGAATGCCGGGACGTGTGCAATAAATTTAATTAATGTTTTTAATCTTCTGAGCGTGAGTAGCGCATCCTATTGTGTCCGTCGTTATGCATAGTGCAGCAAGATAAACTTCGTCTTGAGATTACCGTCGCGAGACATTGAGAATGGAGTTTAAGCCGGTCATGGTTCTTGGACTTAACACGAGCCTGTGATGGAAACAAGAGGAAGCACGAGATTGCGAGTCACATGGAGAAGACAGACCGTGAACGCACGGATGAATACTATGTTTGACGAGATGCCAATTACACAACTACTGCTTTGGCAGGAACGTCAACGTAAAATAATTACTCAGCGTTCGATGTCACAATAATTACATGTGTGTTCATTAACAAAATTTTAGTTCGTTGAATTTATTTAAAAAAATAAAAAAAAAATAAAAAAAAAAAACAAGAGAAACTTTCTCATATTTTTAATGATGATAAAATCGCTACAAGCGAAATATCGTCGCTGTATAAATAAATATTAAAAACGTAGAAGCGCGGCGAAATATATTTAGAATAAAATATGTAAATAAAAGGCCGGATGTGAAACATAAGAAAATTTCTCCGTTCGGAGAACAAAATTGCGTTTGAATATTTTTCATGCGTGAGTTCTAGATCAGAGATTTATTTAGAGCCAATGGCGCGCAGAATCGATCGATCGCAAAAAAATAGGTCTGGGCAGGCCATGCATTATGCGCCTAACTTTCTCCGTGCAGCCATAAAACCTCCTCCCTCCTCCGCGGAGTCGCCAACTCGTGTTCATTATATGGATTTACCTACCTACCACCGGCAAAAATCTTAATTGAGCGCCATATAAGGCCGCGGCTAATGAGACGGTTCGCTCGTGCCATCCGTGTATAGATGGTGAAAGGGAGCAGGACCCATGGGAAAGCCGAGGCAAAAGGTTGCCGGGGTAAGAAGGGAAGTGGCCTTCTTGTGTCGAGGATCGCTGATAGTTTATCGCCGCTACGGTGGATTAAGCTCGTTATCTGGGTGTTATTAGGAAACAAGCATTTCCGGATCGTGAGAAAGAACGATGACGGTATCGATCACCGACAGTGGCACGTGTAAAAAAATATCAGCGGTAAACAAACAGTATACCGCTGATAAAAAAGGTGTAATAGCACGGCAATTGATGCTTTGCGCAAAGATAAAATCGTCATCGAGTGAACGCCGTCCGTATGATAATTGCTCGAAGGGGAAAGCGACTCGAGGAACAAGTTCGTCGATTGGATAAACGATGAAGACATCTTGCGTTGATTGTCGATAGTTTCCCCGGCAACAACGGCAAGCGTAGGTTGTTATTTCGTGATTATCAAGACACAAGAGAGAACTTTGCGAAAGCAACTATTATCGCGAGTCTCTATTTAGAGTGAAACTGGCGGTTCATTCGCCTGGCAGCGTGTATTAGAATTTATCAAACAACGAGCTGACTCTGCGATAAAAAGCAATGTAATGAAGCCAACGCGCGTTGAGAGGGAACCATTTCACTCATTAGTATTTCAATGTTACGTTTGTATTCATTGGTACACGCAATGCCATTGAAGATATAAGTTTCTATCGTGATGGACGTTGGCGGAATTTTAACAATAAATATGCCGTCCGTGGAACGTGTTCCTTCCTTTCTTTTTTTCCCCTTTTCCAACAGCGGATTCATTTTGTCAAAAGCAACAATTTATAAATATCAATTGCCATTGTTTTATTTCTGAAGCTTTCCGATCGCAATAGAGAAGATATAGCTTCAGGAAATAAAGGAGAGATAACTGCTTAAAGAGCGGATTCGTCCTACTTCTCCAAGTTTCCCAGTCACTGTCGTTACATAAACTGAACAACGGTCGACTCCTTATCGCGCAATA